AGTATTTATATTTAAATAAATATATAGATGCATTTTTGTTCAAGAAAGTCATTTTAATCAAATTGTAGCACATTAACTTGCAGGGGCAGCTATTTTACATGTGCAGAGCAATGTGGGTGTGGGCTGCAGCCCACTCCAAAAAACATCTCAGGAATGTTGAACATTTGATATTCTCTTTGACATCCTACCAACTACACATTGGATGTCAGTGAAATTGGAGGGTTGAAGCTTTCAATGACACAAGGTGTGAGTTGACAAGGTAAATTGGAAAGAGGTAGGAAATAAAGTATACCTACATTTTGACTTTACCATTACTTATTTTTATTTTTACTGTTTCCTTGCTTGTTTCAGAAATAACTTGTTAAATCAATAATGTGGAAATCCTCTCTTGCTATAAGAAATTTATATCTTTATTAGTTTGATGTTTATTATTGTTTCTACTACATGCCTAGCACATTCACTGGCACCTAGTGGGTACACAATTAATAGTTGTTTATTTGGGTTATAATAATAATCGCTAGTACTTTGATGTCCCTTAACTATGCACTAAACACCGTATTCATTAGCTTTTATACATTAAGTGATATAATTTCTACAACAGTGTTATGTGGTAGGTACTGTTGTTCTATCTAGTTCCTAAATGGGAAACTGAGGCCCAGGCCCATAACTTTCACCAGATCACATGGCTCACTGGAAGTGGAAATGGGAATCTAGCCAGGGCAACCTGATTGCAGAGTCTGCGCCTGTATCTACAACATTGCACTGCCCTTTGAAAGTAAAGTGCTAAGATGCAAGAGGAGAGGTGGCTATTTATTTATACATTCCTTCAGGAGAATCTGAGAAACTGATCTGAGTGGGAAGATCAAATTGGGGAGCAGTTAGGTAGTTCTGCAGAGGAGTAGGCAGCACTTGAGCAATGAGAAGCAATGCTGTTTTGAATAATTATTTCCCTCACATGGGTCACATAGGTCCCCCAGAAAAGCAACCTGCCTTCGATTGAGTGAAAAATAGAGTTGTCATGATTGCCAAGTGAGTTGAAGTGACAGAATAAATGACCTCACTGAAACAGTGCCACTCTCCAGGAGCCAGGATGTACTGAAAACCAAGAGAATTTTAGGGTAATTTGAACAATATTTGCAGCAGAGGCTGGACGTGGATTTTTCTTCACAGCAGGCAGCAGTAGCAGGGAGTCTGTTTTAGGGCTCTGTTCTTATCACCTAAAACTTCTAAAGCTTAACTGAGTGCCAGGATAATTAACCCCCCTGCATACTGGAGGTTCTTTTGGATCTACTTCTGACATGTTAAGGAAAAGAAAGAAAATAATCATTTTCAGGTTGAGCAGCCTGGCCCTTGGATACTGATATATGGCAAATTGCAGCCCACTAGGAAATGAAACTGCATTTTCTTAAGTACAATTTTGAAAGAAACCTATTATTTTTTCCCTTATTTTTGAGTACATAACATTGTAATATACTTTATAGATTTTATTATTTACAGTAGCTTAAAGTGGTGGTGGGAATTAGAATCATGGTACGTTTGCACCAGAAGAGATCCTTGCAGCTAAACTAACCCTCTCATTTTATATTAATCATAACTACCCTACAAACCTATGATGTGTAACATCTGAATGAAATACCAGTAAAACGTTCAGTACTTTCAGATTGCCTACTGATCGTAATGCTTGCTCAAGCCTTCAATCTAGGGTAAATAGTTCAAATCCTTTTCACTTAAATAAAAATGCTAAGGAACTTTATGGATCTCAAATCCATGGTATGATTTTCACTGAATACCTACAAGAATTAATAAGCAACCTCTATCTCAAAGAAAGAGTTATGGCATTTTGACTCATCATCCTAGGTCCACATCCTTCCTAGGGAAAAAAAAAAACCCTGAAAAAATTGGCAGCATTTGGTATTTTCAACAACAAAATCATATCACATAGCACAGAGAACATTTCTGAAAAATATTGCATCTTTTAATATAGCATTGCATTAATCCAGATTTCATACTAGCTGTGTAGTTTATGGTCATCCTCAATGTGGAATATTACTCAGTCACAAAAAAGAATGGGCATGTCTATTAACTTCCCAAGTGAAAAAGCAGATAACAGAGAGGGGTTTATAAAGTGTCATCATATTAATGATTTGGATATGATATAAACAGGAAGAAAAATATAGAAGAATATATACCAAGTAATTAAACTGCATTATCTTGTTGAGAACTTGAGTTGACATAGGAATAGAAATAAATAAGGAAAAGGGTAATTAAGCAAGAAAGATACTTTACCTTAACACATGAAATGTATCTATTACAAATTGAATATGTGCATAGAAAAATGTTAAAATGAGACAATAAAAAAGTATATTGGAGGGCCTCCCTGGTGGCGCAGCGGGTTGAGTGCAGCACTGTGAAGCTATCTGCAGCCTCTGCAGTGCCAGTTCAGGGAGATGTCCACATGGTGCAGTAGACCTCTCCTGTCTCACCCGCTGATCCCCTCAGCAATGTATTTTGATCCTTCTGCCTGTTCTGCTCCCTGCTCTGTCTCTGGTGAATTCTCTCATCCTCCCATGCTGCTGGCCTGTACTCCAGTGCTTGTAAAAATAATTAAATCTTTAAAAAAATAAAAAAGTATATTGGATTTCTTTCATCCCCAAGGAGAACATAATTATAAACTGGGTAGTTACAGTGGAACATACCCTGGACTTACGGGCAGAAATTTTTGGTATCCAGTACCTTAAAATTACTGAATCTGAGCAAGATCCTCCTAGTTGACATGAGGGAGTGAAGGAGCTGAGACTTTTGGCTTGAGTACTAACTTTGCAATTTCCTAGCTGTGTGACAGTACTTTCCACATTGAAAAATGAAGATACAATTGCATAGTTGCTGTAAGAATTAAACAAGATCACACAATTTAAATATTGAAATCTGAATCAGCTTTCAAAAATAAATCTTTTTTTGCCTTATATGCCATCTCTAAGTTATTTGTCTTATAGCTGTAACCTAAAACTGAGAATTTTGAAGTTTGAACACTGCAAAATGACTTCATAATGACCCCTATTAAGTGCTATGTTATTTTGTACCATCATAAGTGCTATTGTTATAGTGATTGGGAGATATTAATAAGGAACAAATTGATCACAGACTTCATAGAGAGTGGTCATGAATGCTGAATAGAATTTGCACTGAGGAAGACATTTTAGGTAGAAGAAAAATCTGAATAATAGGTATTCTTCCTGGATCAATACTGAATCTGTATTCATGCTTTCATCAAAGATTTATTGGAGAAATTAGAGAAAATGTTACATAGAAACATTCATATTTTGTAAGACATTGAAAATAGGAGCAGTAAGATTGAATATATAATCTTTTAAACTATATTAGGAAATTGATCTTATACTTCTTTGGTATCATTCAGTCTATCTTTTGAGGCCAAGCTTAAAGTACTAAATTCTTTGAATCTCTTGAGATGCTACAACCATTTTCACATCCTCATTTGTTTATGAAGCATTTGTGAATTAATATTTATTGACACATTTTAGAATTTAAGGAGATTGAGCCTTAATGCTAATATTTCACCCCCTTATTATCAAATGAATAACACCTAAATGAAAAAGCACTAATTTATTTATTATTTTTTGTTATTAAGTCCATCCACCAATAGTTTGCTTATCTGTCCTTTGGGGTTTTGTTATTGAGCCCACCTGCTAATTGCTTGCTTATCTGTCCTTGAGGTTTTGTTATTGAGGCCACAGATTCCTTGTTTGCTAATCTATCCTTCTGGTTCTCGTTATTGACCCCACAACTAATTGTTTTCTAATCTTAAAGCACTACTAGCTTGGGAAGCTCTCTACAAGTCCCCAAAGGTCCTTCCTTGAAGAACTGAGTTAAAGCCATAGTATGAATTCCAGACTACAGTGGGGACCTAATTGCTCTGCCAGGTCAACTTCACCCACTTGACATTGCTGTTTTATCCCACCCAACTGGGTGACAGATATTAGCATGGAGGGTTTACTTGACCAATGGGCTTGCAGTATGAGATAACTAGCATGAAAGCCAAACTGTTCAGATGGTCTGGCCCCTCTTATTACAATAATTATGTGATCACAAGTCATAAGAAAGAAGTAACATTGATTCAGGAAGCAAGAAAGTGAAAAGTTATCTAATTAAAAGGGAAAAAAATAGTATCTTGCATGTTCTGAGCTTAGGCTAAATAACAACAACACAATGTGATAAGTGTTAAAAGATAAGTACTAGATGAGAGGTTAATACAAAGGTGGAAGTGATTAATTCCTTGTGTGAATCAAGGAAGACTTCATAGAGAAAGATACATCAGGATTAAGTAGATATTTGTCAGACTAATGATGGTAACAAGGAGAAAATTCCAGAAATAAGTCATTCGGTAAATCATGGTGAGTTTCGAAAGTTAAAAACATTTGGCATGACTGAAGAAACTTTCTCAGAGCAAAGTGAAAACTCGGGAGGCAAGCAGAAATGAGATGTAGTAAGGTAAAAAGTATCAGGCTTTTCTGCCCTCCCGCCATTAGGATAGATGACGGAACCCTGTGGTCCTGAATGCATGCCTGATGGCGGGCACGTGGAATAGGGTGTGGGCATATGTAGATGGGATTCACCTGGGCTAAGACTGGCTTTTAAGGATGGCGTCACGGGGATGCCAGCAGGATCAGAGAAGCTGAGAGAAGAAGAGAAGCAGAGAGAACGCCAGAGAGCCCAGAAAGAGTGAGGCTTTGCTGGGGGCTGGGAGGACTGCCAGCTTCCTGGCACCCCAGAACCCCTGCCTGCCATATGCCTGGTAAATCTAAATAAAAAGCCTGCAAAATGCACTGAGGACTCTCTAGAACTCCTTCTTTACCTGGTCTGCTGGATCGGAAAACTTGCACTGTGTCCTTCCTGTCCTTACATGAGAAAAACTGAAATATACAGAATATAGGATTTATCCAGTGATATCTACTGATGGTTGATGAAAACAAGACACTGGGGTTGAGGTTTGCCTTAATATGAACAATTGCTTTTCCCTACAGAGGTTATTATACACACATATTTTCATAGTATTCAGTTCACTTTGGTTGTAACAAATTACAAAAAATTTATCAATAATCTTGTGACAAATTTTCAACAGACTTGGTGAATTCAAACAATATCTTGATACATTTATTATCTTTTATTTCTGGAAGTTAAACTTCTTTGGCAGAAACAAAGGTATCAGCAGGACTAACTCTGCCCTCCCGCCATTAGGAGAGGGAGAATCTATTTCCAATGTCTTTTTTTAGGTACTAGAGGCTTTCCATGTTCCTTGGCTTATGGGCAGTTTCCATCTTCAAAGCCAGCATTAGCTGGTTGAGTATGCCTCATGCTGCATTGCTCTGACACATTCCCCCTTATGCCTCCCTCTTTCACTTATAAGGAACCTTGTTCTTATAATTAGATAATAACTTCATGTTAAGGTCAATTGATTAACAACCTTTATTCTCTCATGTAAGCAAACATATTCACAGGTTCTAAATATTAGGGTGTGGGCATCTCATAAGATCATTATTCTGAATACTACATATAATTTTGTATATATTAATTGGGCAAATTACTTTTTCCATATCACATTCTTATAATACTGTCCAATAATGACGACAATAATCGGTCATAGGCTTACCAAGTAAGAGATCAGAAGATAAAATGAAATTATTATCCTGAATCCTTTAAAAATGTGTAAGACATATTGGCACGCAGCTCATCATTCTTGAGAAAGCAACTCGGCAAAGTGGTAAAAGAATTCACTTAGATAACATTTTATTTGTTAGAGCAAGATTTGACAGACTTCATTTTAACAGCTAGAAAAATTAATTTAAAAAAATCACAATATTTAGTGAATTGGCATAATTTCATAGGTAGGTGAAGAACAATCACACATTTTTGAAATAAAATCACTGCTTTCACCTTTTAGTGAGAAGATTTCAAGATAGATAAAATAGTTTTAAGCAGATATGCTTTAATATTCAATGGATATTAGAAAACTATCAGAAAATAAACCCATTGTGAAAATACCTAAAGGTAACAGCGATTTGTTATAAATAACATTTTAAAAGATGTACTTTTCTAAACTGAAAAATAGTAATTCATCTTACAATACTTTCATATTTACAATGCCTTTTAAAAATAGTAAGTTAAAAAGGGAATGTTGTAATGTGAACTATAAACTTTCTAAAATTAAAAAAGATAAAGAATTCAAATATACTAATGAGATACAACAATTTTCACTACACTGAAAGCTGTAGAATGGAATATTTTATACACTATTTTTACATTTACAGGAATGAACAATATTATATTTTGACATATTTATGTATTACTGATTAAGCATCTGAAGACACAGTCTGTGAGATAAGTGTAGAAACAACATACACCTCATTTTAATGTTAAGCTAAGAACAGAACAGAAATGCTTCTTTTTCACTCGTGAAATTTTGGGTTTTGTTAAAAGAATATTGGAAGACAAAATAGATATAGCAAATATAGGTCTAAGTTGTCTTAGCAGATACTTAATTTCAGAAAAATTCACAAAATAGAAAGATGTGCTTATTCAATTCTTTATTCTAGCTCTATAAACCCCATCTAGTTTACAAAGAAACAAGTTTACTCAAAATACTTATCATTGTAACAGCTACTCCCTTTCTACTGTTTTATATTCTGCCCCTTCATTCTCTTATGTTCCACTTTCTGTAACAGAGCTCATTACCGAGGTGATAGGGGACTAGTTTCAAAGGCAGCATGAGTCACAAAAATATCAAGCCAGTGGTTTCCTTCAGGACATTCATATATTTTTTTTGTGTTAGAAAGAAATTTTTTCCTTGGGCACAGTGATATCACTCCTGAGAAACCAATTACTTTCCAAATATCTGCAATACTATTTTTGACATAACTAACTTATGTCAAGTAGAAAAAGCATACTATAGCCATGGTACATAATTTTTACCTCTTATGGCAGTTCTACACTGTAAACAAAAAACAGATTAAAATGTTTGATTAAATAGTAGTTAATAACTGGATAATTTGTTCAAGTCTTTTCTTATACATCGGCCATCCACAACTTTGCTTTTTTATTTTTGTGTATCAAAATTCATCAATCTTGATGTTTATCTTAAACACCCAAAACAACATGGGACATTTTTGAACAATCTATAATATTCTTCTTGGATCTAAAAAAAGAAAATGAAAGAAAGACTGATAAACATTATTGCAACAAGCACAGGAAATTATTTTCAAATCATATTAAATTTATTTTATATTTGTTTTTCTAATTATTCCTGCTTTGTCAGAATATGCTTTTGTGAATAGAAGCTAGATTAATATCCCTAATAACACTTTTTTCAAAGCATATTTCTCTATGAACATCTAGATATTCTAATTATTTCAGTACTAACATGTACTCCATTTAGGCAATAAAGGCACAATTCACAAATCTAGCAGAAAAAGAATTTCTATCAATTCGGTAACTGATGCTTCATGCACACACTAAAGGTTGGGCTAAAAAAAACCCCAAAACTGCTTACCTTTCTAGATAATACACACAGGAATAAGAAAATGAACATGCCCTGGAAGGCGTTGCTGACGGTGAAGAGGTAGGCAGTCACCACCGATGCATGCGCAACATGTAGAACGCCAAAGATCCAGGTGGTGCCGAGAAGAAACAGGAGAGCAAGCGCACCTCTGGCACAGGATCTGTAACACATTGAAAGTTTCAGTTATATGTATACTTAATATAGTCCCAAATTATTCAAATTATATGAGAAATATTTTTTTAATCTAACCAAGACATCTCTTGAAATTGACAAATTGTGTTACACTTACATGAGTAACTGTAGGATACTACACCGTGGCAGGGATGTACTTTCAACATCAAACCAACACTATTAAAATATGGTATTTTTCAAGGAATTTCCTTAGGTATGTGTATGCTTTGATTTAAAATCTAATGTAGTAATTCCCAAAGGTAAGACCTACATCTGTTAGACTGTGTTTTCCCGAAGAAACCTTGAAAAGTGTTACTATGTGGACTTGGGTCAGCTCAAGTACATGACATCAAAGGAAGCTCCTGCTTTCCTCTAAGGTTTTAGTAGAGAAGAAAGTGTAAGATATAAAAGATGACTTTTTTTTTTTTTTGCTTTTGCAATACAGTACTTGTTTTCTAAATAAATTCAAATGAAAATAGTGATTTTTAAAATATAATACATGCACATAACAACTCTTTGGTAAAACAATATTCAATCCTGTGCATCGAGTACATTGCCTTGAAAATGAGGCAACTAGTGATTATTTTCTCATTCCTTCTTTGTCCAATCATTCTATACTGCAGAAAATGTTTTAGCAGTATACCTCAGAAAATGAGTCATTTTCAACTTTATTAAAACTGGTGCACCATGTGAAACTATGAATGGTGAGAACTCAAAGAAAGTAATCGATCAAATCCTAACTATAAATCCTGTGCAAGGTATTGAAAGTACAGGAGTGTGCCGAATCAACCCCAACCTCAGTTATTTCTAATGTTCCCTATAGCACACTTCAGTTTTTCCTGAACAAATCATTTTCAAGGTCTCCATAAATCAGTTTTAAAGAGAAAAGGTTGAGGGAAAAAAATCATGGCAGCATGCAAACTACAAATCCAAGAAGAAACAGTTAATAAAGTTCTGAGAAATGCTTTGCAGAGAAAATCACTAAGATGTGCTTTTACTTTAAAATGTAGCATCTTTTCTTTTGAAGGGGAATATATTTGAAACGATTGTTTTACTTGCCATTTAATATGCAGTAGTAATAGTCTTATTAAACATATTAAAAGTTATTTTACAATAAGTATTTTAAATATGGTAGGAGAAAATACGTAAAAATCATTAAAAAAATAGTCCTTCCTGAAGTTACTTGCACTTTAAGTTACAAATGCTTTTAGTTATTAAATAAAATAGAGTTAAGGAAGCATTTACCTTATGTTCTCATAGCAACTAACTTCTGGTTTTAATCCTGCAGTGTGACGAAAAACCTTGTATATGATAACTCCAAAAGCCATGAGATTAACCTGAGAAAATGAATTAATTTCAAAGGAGATTATTTTTACAGTAAATTAGATGTCTATAAAGTAAATAATAAAATAGTAAAGATTTCAAGTAAGTATGGTACAAGATACATACAACACCCCTGATAGATTCAGGCAAACAAATCTGTGGTTGATTGTTAATAATCATTGAAAAATGTTAGTACAAATGTAGTACAATTTGCCAGATGATGTTAAGCAGCCTGTTCATGAAATTTCTTCACATGTTATAATCACACCTAGAGACTATTATTATCTGTCAATAATATGATTAATACACACAATAAGATAAATTTTGATCTGAAAAGCTTTATAAATACTTAAAAATCAAAATTTATTTATTATACACTGTTTCTTTGAAAAGTGTTAGCGATAATACTGACAACCCTTTGAAATTTTAAACTGAAACAGAGAAGTTGAAATGAAGTTAGTAAATTCAACCAACACCTTCAATTTCTATAGCTAGAACATGTTGAATGTACTTTGTATATTTCATGCAGCTACATCTTGTAATATTTATGTCAAGATTTCCTTTTCCTAGATTTAGCCTTGGAAACTTCCAGTGTATTAATCCATAAAATAATATTGTTGAAGGCATATGTATTTTTATTAAAAAATATTTATCCTATTATTTGTCCTTCCTAATATCAGCTAAATAGAATACATGGAATTTTAAACCCTTGTAAACAAACTTAAGAAAAGTTTGTTTCTTTTTTCCTCTTTTTTTCTTTCTTATAATTTTGGAAAACTTAAAGTGATGTTTGCAGTGTCAGGACTAAATGAGGGATGTATTTAAAATTTCTATTTATTTTAATGTGACCATACCAGAAATGTGAAAAGGAAATATTACAGAAATCATTTATAAATTAATCTTTCACTGAAAATATTTTATTAATCCATATAGAGTTTTAAAAACCATCTTACAACAACACTAGCAAAGTGTAATATTCTGATTTTCAGGTAATTCTTATCTAACAATTAAAAAACTTACAATGAAAAAATTCTGATTTTTCTTCTGCAGTTTAAAGAGTTTTATATAGCTTCACAAAATGAAATTTACTAATTACTACTATAAAAAGTAGTATAAAATAATAGGTCAGATAATTTCATGTTGTCACTTTTCCATGGAGAACTTGAGAGAAAAAAGAATTCAGTCCCTTTTCTTTGCTTTTAAATGTCCATTACTTTAAAATATATTATTAATTAATTATAATTATAGTTATGATTTCATACCAAAAAAAGACTAGCAATTGCAGAGCAGAGATAAAGTATATTTAAATCAATTTATCTGACAGTTCCACCTATTATATACTTGAAAAATTAAGTGAAATGACAATTTAATAATATTTAATTTATAATTTTTACTACTTATAAAGGAGGCATGCACAGTATTTTCTAGGATTCTAAAACTAAACGATAGCTAATGCATCTTTAAATGAATTTGGAAATAAGTTATATTTAATTTTACAAATATACACTAATTTTTTAAATAATAAAAAAGTATTAAACCTTGGCTACAATAAATAATATACATCAATAATGGGATGAGAATCTTCAAAGAATTTTTATTATGTTTTTATATGGAACTTGTTTTCTCAAAAGCACAAGTAAAAAGAAAAGCAAATGGTCAAAAAAATTTCTGGAGACCTAACTTTTTTCACATTATTTATATTTAGTAATAAAATTTCTTAAATTTCTAAGATGAAATAGGTTGGAAAAACAATTGTTCATAATACTGTGGTTTCTAAGATGAAATAGGTTGGAAAAATAATTGTTCATAATACTGTGGTCTCTCAGAATTACATGTACATTTTGGATATGCTCTTTTATATCATATGCTAAAATAATGAAGGGAAGTGTAACATTCCCTAAGGATTATTCAGTTCTGGAAAGTACATTTTTTTCCTGTACAAAATGGGGAATGTTTATATACTTATAAAAACCAGGTGGGCTAGACAAGAATGAATTAAATTCTTATTCCATGAACTTAAAATTTCCCAACTGTACGAGAAAACAGATAAAAACATTTTTATCAAAAGAGGTATGGGTTTATGTAACAAAAAATCACAGATGTATTGATTATATTATCTACACTGAATGATATCAATCCAAATAAATGGAGCTTTTTACTTGTATTTATTCTAAACATTTTATCAAGAGTCTGAAACAGTAGTGAGGGCTGGATACATATTAGTGAACAAAACAGACACTGTCCTTGGGTCTCATAAGTTTATTAAGAAAATAGATAGTAAGCACATAGTCACACAAATGCTTATAAATCTGGAAGTTGTGATAAATGCTAAAAAGTCACACATGTGGACCACTAGGAGAGACAAAATGGAGGGTTGGATTGGAATGAAGTTTCAAGAAGTACTTCTCTTAGGACCTAGCATTTAAGCTAGTACCCAATGAATTAAAATATATTAGCAGACAAAAAAGAAGTCATGAGAGTCGAAAGCATTACACATTTAAGGAATTAACAATGATGATAAAGTAAACAAAAGAGTAGCATTGGATGAAGTGGGTGAAATAGACAGGGACAGATATTACTTGGATTTTACCTTAAATGTAAAAATTTTAAATTTATTCTTTTATTCAATAATTACTATATACTATAAGCATTTTCCTTAAGAACTTACAGTATAATGGAGGGAGATGACCAGTCAACAGGCAAGTACACTTGTATTTTAGGTTAAATAGTTGGAGAGACACTATTAGCATTGTGCTTACATAGCAAAGGCTGTATTAATGATAACAAGCCTAAATAATTGAGTAACAATTTAAAATTTAAAAAAAATCATTAATATTAGCCTTAATTGAGGAAGTGGTGCCTTTAAACTGTTTCACATTTTTTGGTCACTAGTGGTGATATTTGCTGATTTCATCAAGTTGTGGATCCCTTCTATTTATCTCTAAAGTCTCGTGCCACAAAAGCACATAGTTAATTAAAGACTTGAAAATGAACAAAGTCTTTATTATCATTTCAGTTTCCATATTTTAGAAACAATTTCGTAGTGTCAACAAAGAGTCCACAACTTGTCCTTTCAGGAATAAATAAAACCAGCACATTACATGGTAAGCATAAGAGCACTGAGCTTCATTACTGCACTTTAAAATACAGAAGTAATGACATAGTTGTGAAGATAAAAATTATTCTGGCTCATGAAAACTTAACCCTTGAGAACAATAATATTTTAAATTTAAAAACATTCCTTTTGCACCTTCTAAAAGTGTAATTTATCTTTACAGAGATCTGCTTCTTAATTTTATCAATGTTTAAAGTATGCAGTTACTTTAAAGTTTTGCACATGCGTTGTGTTTTTGACAGAGTACATTAAAAGTTTTAAGCACTTGATATTATTTTAAACAAGATATTTAAATAGATGTGCTGGTGAGAGAGTGAGAGCTAATTTTGAAAGATTTAGACCTACAGGTACATTCAACCCGAGGCTTCAAATTCAGACTTCAAAATGAAGCATCCCAATCAGTCATTTTTCCTTTCTTAGTCTTTTTTTTTAATAATTGATGAAGCCATCTATATGCTGATGTCAGATCTCACTGAAAAGAATGAGAAAATTTCTTTTACAGCACTTTTAGACCCATGCTTTAATTTTTCATATATATCAAACAGAATCTGGTTCATTTAGGAATGTGTCGTGATCACAACTGCTTTGTCCTTTCAAATAGTTTTATTACCTTTAAATTGACTGGCCTAGGACAAACCTACTTTTGCAATGGACAAAGGGTGGGTTTCTACAGGTGCACCAGGAGGCAATAAATAGCAACTCGTTCATTTTCAATCCCTTGACCACTGCAGAGATGACTAAATAGTTTTCAATTTAAACTTTAAAATGAAGAGGCATGACCTATTAATTTTTAAAAACTGTCTACCAGCTAGATCAAAATCTAGTAATCGGAGTTTTATCTTCTTTATGATTTTCTTTTTTAATCATTTCCCTATCAACCCTTTTAATGCCTTAGTTATAGTCCAATCTCACAACACATCAGAAAAATTGGGATACATGATAAGCAGACCAATTTCTCTCCTCTGAAAAAATGTCCACATCCTAATTTCTAGAACCTGCAAATATGACAAAGGGATTTGACAGAGAGAATTATGGTTATGGATTTTAAGATGAGGAAATTACCCCTGATCATCCAGTCTGGTTCAGTGAGGACATTTCATATAAATGAAAGCAGAATGAGGAAGACATTGAACAGTGAGGCAGAAGAAAAGACAGGGGATATGAAGCAGTAGAAGTCAGAGAAAACTAAAGACACGGGGGTCCATTTGTAAATGTGCTAGGCTGCTATCAATTGAAACTGACCCCTGCCCCAAAGACAGAGGGAAATCAACTGCATGAAACGGAATTTGGAAACATTCTCCCCAGAGCATCCGTAATGGCTGATGGCTTGATTTTAGTCCAGAGAGACTCTAAGCTGAGGAATGAATTTAGTCGAGTTATCTTGTACCCAGATTTCAGAGCTACAAACTGTGAGCTAACAGATTTGCATTGTTTTAAGCCACTAAATTTGTGGTATTTGTTATGACAGCAATAGAAAACAAACACCCGGCGAAGAACATGTAGATTTATATAAATATAATTTAAATATAAATTTAAATGCAAATTATGAAAATATAAATTTAGGTATAAATTTATATACATATACATTTACATGTTTTTTGCCTAGTATTAGTTTTCCATTGCTGATTATGTACAGGGTGAAAAGCATATAAATTTATATGAATTTACATGGTTTTCATCCTATAGTAATTTTCCATTGCTGATTATATATATATAAAATACCCCATAATTCATTGTTTCTTTTTATTTTTGTTTATTTTTAAATATAAATTTTAAATCCAGTTTTAAAAATATTACTTTATCAATAACATGTTTATTATTGATGTTCTAAATACTTGGTGAGAATCAACATAAAACCTTCTCTATTATTTGTGGATTCTGTTTCTGAAAATAAAAAAT